AAGGCAGGGGAACAGAACCAGTCTCAAGAGACTCTGAGGAAGTACCTTATATCAGTTTTAGGGCTGTGTCTCTGCACCTGTGGGCTGGGGGTTACTAGTCACCGACATTTAGATCGAGGACTGTACATCCTGCACCTCGCCTAGATGTGTCCCTGAGCTCCTGTTACACATGGCCAAGGGCCAGATGGAAGTATGTTTTTTTTGGTTTTCCTTTAGCATCTCAAATTCTACAAAACTGTGCCCCTTCCCCGCCCTCATGGCCATCTCCAGTCTATCACCTGTTCTTTATCTCAGCAAATATTACCATTTTCCAACATGCTTCCCAGGGGTAATCCTTGACTCTTCTGCAATATCCAATTAAACACCGAATCTAGTAGTTCTACCTCCACAGGTATCCTGAATGTATCCACCTCTCTCCATCCCCACTGCTGTTCTCTTACCTCAGTGCATCACTTTCAGTTTATATAAATGTGACCACAGTCTCAGTCCTTCTCTTCAGTTATTTACACTACAGCCTGAGATTCTTTTCTAAAATGGAAGGCTAGTGAGGCCATTCCACTGCTTTAAATCCTTCCATAGTTCCATATTGCCCTCACAGAAAATTGGATTCCAGGACATGGGGGCTCATAGTCCCTACATGGTACAGCCCTATCTGCCTCTCCAGTCTGTCCTCTCCCTGCTCTCAATCTGTAGGCTCTAACTACACCCATTAGCTCTTCAGCGGTGCCATATTCTCTTCTACCTCTGGTCTTTATGGACATTTCCCTACACCTGGAACACTTGCTTCAATCCCATCTATCTTTGATCTGGATTAGATTTATTTCTTTTGAATGTCTAACAGTGAAACTACTTCTCCTGAAAACCCCTAACCACACACGATCCCCAGCCCAAAGTCTGGGTTAGGATCCCCTTTGTATGTTCTCATAATACTGTTTTGGAATTGCCTACTTACTTGCTTATATATATATACGTATATATATATATATACATATACATATATACATATATACATATATATATATATATACATATATACATACATACATATATACATATATACATATATACATATACATATATACATATATACATATATACATATACATATATACATATATACATATATACATATGTATATATACATATATACATACATACATATATACATATATACATATAT